AAAAAAAAAAGTGTAATCACTACTAAACAACTCAGCAATCACACTCCTGGACATATATCCCAGAGAAATGAAAATTGATGTTCACACAAAAAACTATTCACCAATGTTTACAACAGCTTTATAAATATTACAGACAATCCCTGAGTTACAAATGAGATCCATTCCTAAGTGTCTTTAAGTCAAATCTGTAGTTAAATTGGAACAGGTACATACAGTTCCTATAAATGAATGGGACTGATAACAGAAAGGTCAGCAGTTTGAATTCATCAACCACTTGTCTTGTAAAGATTGATAGATAGCCTGGAAACCTGACGCAGGGACACTATGAGTTGGAACTAACAAACAACTTAATGGTAGTGAATTTTAATTTAAGTCCTGGCGAGGTAATAGGTCAAGCATTGGTATTCTAACCAAAAAGTCAAGAGCTCAAACCCATCGGCCACTCTTAGGAGAGAGAGAGGCAGTCTTCTCCCATTAAGATCTATGGCCTGAATGACAACCTAGTGGAGAGTTATCAGGAAACAGACTCAACTTGACAGAAATGGGGGTTTTGGCTTTAGTGCAAGAAAAGGCTTTCAAACTTTTCAGTAATTTATACTCTGCACAAGCAGCAAGGTGATTGTGCTGAATTTGCTGCAAGCAGAGTTTGGTTCAACTGGTTTAAAGTGAGGGTAAGTTTTCCATAAATCACACATTCACAATTCAATAACTACTGTAATAAAAAACTGGAAACAACCCAGATGTCCTTTAGTGGGGTGGCTGGCTAATCAAATTTTGGTACATTCATGCAATAAAACATTGTTGTTCTACACTGTTAAGTTGGAATCAACGCATAACTGACCCTCTAGTGGTTTTTTAGAGGCAGTAAAATGCACAGAAGACTGCCCATCTTTCTCCCACAGAGCACCCAGTGGATTCAAATTGTGTACCTTTGAGTTAGCAGTGCAATTTCTTACCACTAGGCCACCAGAGTTCCCTCGATGGAATACTACTTAGCAGTAAAAAAATAAAGTATTGCTACATACAATAACTTGAATAAATCTATGGGGAATTACACAGACTGAAGTAGGGGGAGTCATTGTCAAAATGTCCATTTATATATAACACCCTCAAAATGACAAAATTTTATAGATGGAGAAGACCTAAGTGTTTCCAAAAGACTAAGATGGAAGTGGGAGGGAAATAAGTGTGGCTACAAAAGGGCAACAAGACGTGACATATATGTTCTATATCAATTGGGAAAAAATATTTGGGAATGACATGTCAGACAAGGGACTTCTATATA